TCATCAGATTTCTTTTGGCCCAATCCTCTAATTTGTCTAGGGCCCTCTGTATCCTATCCCTACCCTCCAGTGTATCTACCTCTCCTCCCAGTTTAGTGTCATCTGCAAACTTGCTGAGGGTGCAATCCACACAATCCTCCAGATCATTTATGAAGATATTGAACAATACCAGCCCGAGGACCGACCCTTGGGGTACTCCACTTGAGACTGGCTGCCAACTAGACACGGAGCCATTGATCACTACCCGTTGAGCCCGACAATCTAGCCAACTTTCTATCCACCTTATAGTTCATTCATCCAGTCCATACTTCTTTAACTTGCTGGCAAGAATACTGTGGGAGACCATGTCAAAAGCTTTGGTAAAGTCAAGGAACAACACGTCCACCGCTTTCCCCTCATCCACAGAGCCAGTTATCTCATCATAGAAGGCAAATAGATTAGTCAGGCATGACTTGCCCTTGGTGAATCCATGCTGACTGTTCCTGATCACTTTCCTCTCCTCTAAGTGCTTCAGAATTGATTCCTTGAGGACCTGCTCCATGATTTTTCCAGGGACTGAGGTGAGGCTGACTGGCCTGTATTTCCTAGGATCCTCCTTCTTCCCTTTTTTAAAGATGGGCACTACATTAGCCTTTTTCCAGTCGTCCGGGACTTCCCCCGATCGCCATGAGTTTTCAAAGATAATGGCCAATGGCTCTGCAATCACATCCGCCAACTCCTTTAGCACTCTCGGATGCAGCGCATCCGGCCCCATGGACTTGTGCTCGTCCAGCTTTTCTCAATAGTCCCGAACAACTTCTTTCTCCACAGAGGGCTGGTCACCTCCTCCCCATGCTGTGCTGCCCAGTGCAGTAGTCTGGGAGCTGACCTTGTTCATGAAGAGAGAGGCAAAAAAAGCATTGAGTACATTAGCTTTTTCCACATCCTCTGTCACGAGATTGCCTCCCTCATTCAGTAAGGGGCCCACACTTTCCTTGACTTTCTTCTTGCTGCTAACATACCTGAAGAAACCCTTCTTATTACTCTTAACATCTCTTGCTAGCTGCAACTCCAGGTGTGATTTGGCCTTCCAGATTTCACTCCTGCATCCCCGAGCAATATTTTTATACTCTTCGCTGGTCATTTGTCCAATCTTCCACTTCTTGTAAGCTTCTTTTTTGTGTTCAAGATCAGCAAGGATTTCACTGTTAAGCCAAGCTGGTCGCCTGCCATATTTACTATTCTTTCTACACATCAGGATGGTTTGTCCCTGTAACCTCAATAAAGATTCTTTAAAATACAGCCAGCTCTCCTGGACTCCTTTCCCCCTCGTTATTCTCCCAGGGGATCCTGCCCATCAGTTCCCTGAGGGAGTCAAAGTCTGCTTTTCTGAAGTCCAGGGTCCATATTCTGCTGCTCTCCTTTCTTCCTTGTGTCAGGATCCTGAACTCGACTATCTCAAGGTCACTGCCTCCCAGGTTCCCATCCACTTTAGCTTCCCCTACTAATTCTTCCCAGTTTGTGAACAGCAGGTCAAGAAGAGCTCTGCCCCTAGTTGGTTCCTCCAGCACTTGCACCAGGAAATTGTCCCCTACAGTTTCCAAAAACTTCCTGGATTGTCTGTGCACCGCTGTATTGCTCTCCCAGCAGATATCAGGGTGATTGAAGTCTAGTAACTTCCGTGAGTTGCTGGAAGAAAGCCTCATCCACCTCATCCCCCTGGTCCGGTGGTCTATAGCAGACTCCCACCACTACATCACTCTTGTTGCTCACACTTCTAAACTTAATCCAGAGACACTCAGGTTTTTCTGCAGTTTCATACTTGAGCTCTGAGCAGTCATACTATTCCCTTACATGCAATGCAACTCCCCCACCTTTTTTGCCCTGCTTGTCCTTCCTGAACAGTTTATATCCATCCATGACAGTACTCCAGTCATGTGAGTTATCCCACCAAGTCTCTGTTATTCCAATCACATCACAATTCCTTGACTGTGCCAGGACTTCCGTTCTCCCTGCTTATTTCCCAGGCTTCTTGCATTTGTGTATAGGCACTTGAGATAACTCGCTGATCGTCCCTCTTTCTCAGTATGAGGCAGGAGCCCTGCCCTCGCACACGCTCCTGCTCGTGCTTCCTCCCGGTATCCCGCTTGCCCACTTACCTCAGGGCTTTGGTCTCCTTTCCCTGGTGAACCTAGTTTAAAGCCCTCCTCACTAGGTTAGCCAGCCTGCTTGCGAAGATGCTCTTCCCTCTCTTCGTTAGGTGGAGCCCGTCTCTGCCTAGCACTCCTCCTTCTTGGAACACCATCCCATGGTCAAAGAATCCAAAGCCTTCTCTCCGACACCACCTGCGTAGCCATTCGTTGACTTCCATGATTCGACGGTCTCTACCCAGGCCTTTTCCTTCCACGGGGAGGATGGACGAGAACACCACTTGCACCTCAAACTCCTTTATCCTTCTTCCCAGAGCCACGTAGTCCGCAGTGATCCGCTCAAGGTCATTCTTGGCAGTATCATTGGTGCCCACGTGGAGAAGCAGGAAGGGGTAGCGATCCGAGGGCTTGATGAGTCTCAGCAGTCTCTCCGTCACATCGTGAATCCTAGCTCCGGGCAAGCAGCAGACTTCTCGGTTTTCCCGGTTGGGGTGGCAGATAGATGACTCAGTCCCGCTGAGAAGAGAGTCCCCGACCACCACCACCTGCTTCCTTCTCTTGGGAGCGGTGGTCGTGGAACCCCTATCCCTAGGACAGTGCATTTCATGCCTTCCAGTTGGCGGAGTCTCCTTCTGCTCCCTTCCCCCAGATGTATCATCTAGTCCACTCTCCGCATTAGTACCTGTGGAGAGAACATGAAAACGGTTGCTTACCTGTATCTGCGTTGCTGGTACATGAACGCTCCCCTTTCTTGTTCTGGAGGTCACATGCTGCCAAATTTCTTCACCGTCCTCCTGTCCCCGCAATGCAGCCTGCTCTGAATCTTCAGAACATTGTGCCCATAGAAGCATCTCCATGAACACAACAGGGTGCAGAGGGATTTAGCCCCTGGCATTCTGGGCCCTGTATGGCAGGTGTTTGGGGGGGAACCGGATGCGGGGAGCCTGGAGTTTGAGGGAAGTTAGTCGGGATGGGGGCTGAGGGGAGAGGGGCCAGGATGGAGTTTGAGAGCAGCCAGGCTCCCCTCCTCACAAGGTCAGAGCTGGGGGGCAGGATTTGGGGGGGGGGTTGAGGAGTGAGGAGGGAGAAGGTGCCCCCAAGTTCCCCCAGGCTCCCATTTCTACCCCCAGTAGCCTCCCCTTTCACTGCCCCCTGCTCAGCCCCACCCCAGCTCCAGCCCCCTCAGCCTCAGGGTTCCCCATTTTTTCTGTCCCCTCATTTTCCCCCCCCCACATCCCCCCGCCCCACATTCCATGACCCGTAATGCCCCCAGCCCCACAGTCACCCCTCCCTGCCCCTATAGACACTCCGGGGGGGCAGGATTGTTCCCCACACCCAGGCTGAGGCATTGGCCATCTTAGCCAGGGAGCAGCCTGGCTGCCCTGCGAGGGCTGCAGGGGGTGACGGGGCGGCCATGTTAACTGAGGGCAGCTGGGGTCCCTTCTCTTGGGGAGCAATGGGAGATGGCGGCCATAGCTAGTGCGGGGCTCGCTGTGAGGGGGGACAGGTTGGAGATGCTGGGCTGTGGGGGGGAAGGGGCCAGTGGTCTGTGAGGGGACATGGGCCAGGGGGCACAATGCGAGGAGGAGGGGTGTGGGGTGACATAAGCTAAACTGGGAGACTCGGGGGGGTCAGGCCTGGGGGGGTCATGCTGAAGGGAGGCGGTCAGGCCATGGGTTGTGGGGAATGACCCTGCTTTGCAATGAATCTGCTGCTCGTCTCCCTTCTTCTCCGGGGCTGGGGGTGAAGGCTCCCGGGGGTCTGTTGAGCAGGGGGGTCGGGGTCCTGTGACGAGGGGGCTGATTGAAGGAGGCTCATGGGAACCCGTTGGCCGGGAAGCTGAAGCACTTTTAATGCAGCCCTGGCCTGGCCCAGTGCTGTGTGCGAGCCCTGGAGGGGCGACACCACGACTGTTACACCAGGAGTCCTGGCCCCAGCTCCACCCCCCGGCTCTAACCACTAGTCCCCACTCTTCTGCCAGAGCCCAGAACTGAGTCATGACCCCCAGCTTCCTCCTGCCCTCTAGCCAATGGCGTATAAACAAAGCCTGTGTCATGTCCCTCTCTAGGGGCCTGGGCACATAACCACTGACAGTGTCTCCTCCAGCTCGGGGGCAGGGTCTCTGCAGGGGCATTAGAAGGTCCCTGGGTCTCTCCCAGCTGGGTGCACGGGATGGAATTTCTCTTGCTCCAGTTTTCCTTTCAACCTGGTTTATTTAATTCACACGCTGAGAAAAGACCCTTTGAACCAGGCGTTACAGCGTAAAGCCGTCCTCCCTGCTCAGTTATGGTGCAAGGGGCAGCAAACCCAGGTGTTCCCCATCACGCCCGCTCCCCACACGGTGCCAGGGCAGGTGTTGTGCGTGTGGGCAGGTTTGCAGGCTGAGCGGGAAGGCTGCAGAGTCAAACCCTCCAGCACCGGGAAATGCCACAGATACAACCTAAACTCAGCCCCCCCATGCACATGCATTACAAAGCCAGCCTTTAATTGCATGATCACGTATTAATTTTACCTACATGGGTCACCGGTGAAGTTTGATTCCAGAATGTAAGAAAGGACAGGATGGGAGGGGGGAATCTGCATGGAAATCGTGGTCAGGCGAAGATTGAAGACTAGACCCTGTGGTCTCCTGGCTCCCAGCCTGTTGCACCTTCCCCAAGGCTGCAGGAGAAATTGAGGGTGACCTGTCCCCGCTCCTCACAGACACAAATAAGCTGTGAGCTGCATGGTGATTGGCCAGGCTGAAGGTCTCAGGGTTTCCTCGGTTTTGCAATGACTGCTGCTTACTTTGGCTGTGTTAGATTTCGCCTGCAGATTAAAGACAAGATGTGATGGATGCAGGAAGAGACAAGACATCATCAACTTCCTCCAGCTGCAGCCACCAGCTGAGTTCCTTATTTGGGGCTTGGTGGAGCCAGGCACTGCGGCTTTGGTGGCAGCGCTGAGGGGCCCCCTCACTGCCCCATCATGGTTTCTGCTCTCACCGTCCTCTTCCTCGGTGAGTCTTGGAGACAGCCAGGGCGTGTGCCCATGGGGGGGAATCTGAGATCAGGCGTGTGCCCATGGGGGAATCTGAGACCTGGGAGTGTGCCCATGGTGGGATCTGAGACCAGAGTGTAGGATCCAGTCGCTCTGGGATCTGGTCCCTAACAAGATGTCTCCTCTCCAGGCTGCTGGCTGGCCGGGCAGAGCAAAGCGTCTAGAGGTGAGTATCTGTGCTGCTCAGTGCTAAGTGTTAAGGATTGGGGGGGGGGGGGAAGGTGGAGGGGAAAAGAGCAGCTGAGACCTGAACCTTCCCCCAAAACTCAGTTGGAGTTGACTCTGGATTGATCCCAGGGGACTGAGATCAGAACCCAACCCTGCCCGCAGTGCAGTCAGGGGTAACTCCAGATTGATCCTGGGGGGCTGAGATCAGAACCCGGCTTTGCCCTAAGTGAAGTCAGGGGTGACTCTGGATCGACCCTGGGGGCACTGAGATCAGAATCCTGCCCTGCCCCCAGTTCAGTCAGGGGTGACTCCGGATTGACCCTGGGGGCGCTGAGATCAGAATCCATCCCACAGGTTCCCTGTAGATGCAGTGAGGTGTCTAACAAATTTATCTGAGCATAAGCTTTTGTGAGCTACAGCTCACTTCATCGGATGCAGGTGTCTGTTAGCCCTGGCGCTATCCCTGGGGCTGGGCACTAAGACACGTGGGGAGTGGTTTGTGTCTCCCCATCTCACTCCTGTGAACGCAGAGCTCCCTGAGCCCAGACCCTCCATCTCCGTCAGCCCCAGCGGGGTGATCGTCCCGGGGGCAGCCGTCACCATCCGCTGTCAGTGTCGGTGCGAGGCCAGGAGGTTATTTCTGTATAAAGATGGAATCCAAATCCAGGAGCTGGACGCTGCTGGGGACGGGGGTGAATTCACCATCCCCAGCGCCAGACGGGAAGACGCAGGGTTCTACCACTGCAGATCTCGCTCCAGATCGGAGCCGGAGCCCCATGATTACCTGCGGATTGTTGTAGCAGGTGAGGGTCCCGGGGAGCGGGGACAGAGTCATGGGGGGGGTTCCCAGTCGCTGTAGATTCAGGACTGACGCAGGGGGGATCCCTGCCCCCAGGGGTCCTTGGGGTGTCCCTTACTTCCCCGGGCTTCCATTTCCCCTTGTATGAATCATCCTCCCTGCACCTTGTGTCTGGTTACAGAGTCGGGGTTGGCTTTAGGGTGGGGGCTTTTTCTCACTGTGCCTGTGCAGCTCCCAGCACCTCTGACTGCCAAGCCCCCCCAGCTCTAACCACTAGATGCCACTCCCTTCCCAGAGCCAGGGACAGAACCCAGGAGTCCTGGCTCCCAGGCTCGGGGGGACTATTAAGTGGATAGACAGGTACAGAGGGTGCTCTGGATTTAGGTCCTCAGGCAGTTTCGGTCGTAGCTCCCAGGAATCTCTGGGATCTCGGAGAGGTTCCTCTGGCTGGGTTTTCTCCCAGGGGCCCCGGGTCTGGGACCGTGCGGCGAGGACGGGGCGCAGTGACTGTGCCGGGTCCTGTCTCACGGCCTGTCTCCTTCTCACTGCAGAGCTCAGCTACCCCAAACCCTCCATCTCCCTGAGCCCCAGCAGGGGAGTCACCCTGGGGAGAACTGTGACCATCCGGTGTGAGTGTCGATGCCAGAAAGCGACGTTCCTCATGTATAAACTTGGAAACCCGGACGTACGGCGCTGGGCAGAGACTGCTGGGGACGTGACTGAGTTTACCATCCACAACGTGAGCCGGAGACACACAGGGAGCTACAGCTGCCAATATGGCACCAAATTGGACCCCTCCGTCTGGTCGCATCCCAGCGACCCCGTGGAGCTGATGGTAGCAGGTGAGGGGCCCGGCTCAGTATCTCCGCTCTGTGACAGGGTTCCTGGGGTGGGTCTATGGAACCGCTGGACCCTCTGTCCCACCAACCTGTGGTATCCCTCGCAACTGTGATGCTGATGTCAAGCTACAAACCTCTGGCAGGTCCTGCACTTACCCAGCCATCCACAGCCAGGGACACACCCACTGGAGTTACAGGAATGATCTCCCAGCCTCTCACGAACCCTTAATAGGGTCGCGCCAGCCAAGTCCCTCCCAGATCCCGGGCCTGGTACCATCCTGCACTGGTCAGAAGCCTGGCCAGTGTCTGTTCATTACCCAGTCCGCCCCTCCCTCGATGGGGAGAGGACACGCACCAGCCTTTGTAACCTGAGCTGAGATTTCCCAGGCACTTCAACCGAAACACACTGTTTGAGATCAAATAGAAAAGAGATTTATTAACTCCAGAGAGATGGAGTTGAAGTGATTATAACTAGCAAGCATAGAGATCAGAGTCAGTTACTTACGAAACAAAAATAAACTGGCAGTCTGAGTTCTACAAACTAACCAGGATTTGAATCAAGCAGTGTCTCCCCCTGGTAGCTGGTACCCACAGGTCACAGATCTTCAGTACACAGACTGGAACTGCCTTCCTGCCGGGATCACCCTCCCGAGTTCAAAGTCTTTGTCCTCCAGACGTGTTTCCAGGGGCTGAGTTGTGCGGGGAGTGAGGCCAAGGGATGTTGTCACTTCCCCTCTTTATAGCTTCTTCCAGCTTACTGGGAAGATCTTCTGCTAGAGGTGGGTAGATGCTCTCTCTGCGATAGTCCTTAGGGGACCCACACTGAAGGGAATCCACTCTCCCATCACAGCCCCACACCCAGCTAGACGCTCAGGGGGTGTCTGCCCCAATGGGATGCTCAGAGCCGGCTCTGCCCTGAACCCTGGGCCCAGCAGAGGGGACACCCGGCTGGGGAGCTGGGACGGAGTCACTGGGAGGTTCCCAGCCAGGGGGGAGCAACAGCTGCTGGAGGTTCGGGGCCAAGAGAGGGAGGATCTCTGCCCCCAGGGGGAACTGCAGAGCAGGGACCTCTTCCAGGGGGATGCTCCCCCGGCTGCCCTGCTCTAGGGATGCACAAAGGAGCCAGGGCCAAGGGGCTGTGCAGCCAGCACTTGCCCCAGCGCTGAATTCACCCCCCACCTGCCCGGACAATTGAACCCATAACATACGCTGGGTGATGGGATGAGTGGCCCAGTCACTGAGTCACCATTTCAGCTCCTTCCCACCCCAGGCCTGGGTGCTGGTTTAATCCCACAGAGGGAACTGACCCAACTGGGCCCTGGCAGCCAGATCCCTCCCTCCCCCCCCAATGGAGCTGGAGGGAGAAGGTGGGTGGGAGAAATGGAACATTTCACCCCCCAGGGAACAGGGTTCCCGGATCAGACACCCACGGGGCCATTCAGGCTGTTTGGAGGGGGACAGTCCCAGAAGACAGAACTGATGGGTTCAAGTCTTCTACACAGAGGATGGTGGATTGATCCATGGGGACCTATGGCCACCAGTCTGTGGGAATGTGGGTCTGTGGGAAGGTAGGGTGGTGGACAGATGGGAGTGCATCTGATGAGGGATAGAAAGATGGACGAAGACCTTGTCTACATGAAAACTGGACCCAAAATGATGAATCCAGTGTCGTTCCCAATCCCCGCTGGTGATCTCAGAGCATGTCTGGGCTGTTGGAATTCGCGCCCCCTGGTTTGATACAGCCCTGTTTGGCAGACGAGCTCCCCTTTAGCTCTATAGACACAGGGGCGTCCTCCTCCAAAATAGGAACAGCCGCGCCCAGAGCTGCTCTGCAGTGACTCCAGGTGTGAATGGCACCTGAGTGGAGCAGTGACCGTCTCTGTGTCTGGTGTCCGTACAGCTCTGAGCACACGGGGCCCAGGATAGGGGCTCCTGGTAATTAATACTAGTAATTAATGATTGCAGTTCCAGTTCTGTGGAGCCAGGCAGGGGCTGTATCTGTGCTGAGGGTCTCGCTGGGCTGATCCTCCCCTCCTGCGATCCCTGGGGCACTGAGCCAGCCTGAATCCCTGGGTCCCATCCTCTCCCTCAGCTCAGGGAAAAGCCCCCATCACTGGTTTCCCTGTATAACTAACCCCAGACACCAGGGCTCCAGCTTTCTCACCCCTGCACCCCAGACCCTGACAGATGCTGGTTCTACTCCCGCAGGGGGAACCAACCTGACTCAGCTGATAACGGCGCCGGCTCCGACTCACCCAGGCAGTGCGTGGCCAGGTACTGGGGCTGGGGGCAGGAAATCACCATCAACTCCCCCAGAAACAGGTTTGTGCTGTCCTAGCAGCCGCCCCCAGAGGGAGCCACAAAGGGCTGTTTGGGTGTGATGGGCGAAGATCTCCACAGCGAATGCCCCATCTGGGCTGACAGCCCCCCAACTCATTTCATATGCTGGGGGGATATCACGGGACAGATACCAGATTGGCTTGGTGGGGGCAGAGCCCAGGAGAGCTTCCCCACAATGCACAGCCCCACCCCGGGGGCCCCACAGACCGGGATGCTGTGCTGCCCCCTGGCACCACAAAGCCACCCATGTGGGGCACAACTCGGTGCATATCCCCCTGGGAGAACAGGACCGGGGACAGAGAGCCGGGGATAACAGTCCCATGCATCCCATCTGTCTGCCTGTGTCTGCAGATAGCCCAGGGGAACGGCTCAGAAGCAGGGCTCTCCCTTTGCAGGGTTCTGCCCAGCAGGGGGGTTAACCCTGGCACCTATCAATTCAGATAGACATGGTGTTAACACTTGAACCCATCCATTCAGAGTGACACGTTGTTGACTCTGGAACCTAATGACGGCTGTTGCGATGACAGCACCGTTACGTTTTCCGCTGCTGATCGCTTCAGCGGAGCATAATTCTTCCAATGATCTCAAAGCACCCTCCCCAGCCACAAGCTCCACCCACTGCCGTCGCCCCACCCACATGATTGCTACGCAGAAGTGAGCTGAAGCTACAGGGAAATTCCCGGGACAGGGGCGGGACCCAGGGAGCCGGGGTGTGGGATTCGGGCCCAGCTGGCTTCACTGGGTACATGGGGCCTGGGGTTCACCCCCCTACACACACTCTGCCCTCTCCCCAAGACAACCCTTTGTCATTGGCAGTGAACACCCCCCCCCCCCACTATTACCCAGCATCCCCTCTGCTCCTGCCCCTCCCAGCTCCATAGCATATTCTGCTGTGGGTCCCTGAGGCCTCGAGGGGGCGGGGCTGGGGTAGCAGGTAATGAACCAGCCGCTCTTCTTCCCAGGTGGAACGGAACCAAGCGCAGCACCGGAGCTGAGCAGTCCTGTCATCGCCGGGGTGAGCGCGGCGGCCGCCAGCCTCCTCCTTCTCCTGGGCATCCTCTGCCACAGAAGAACCCGAGGAAGTGAGTGCCCGGCCCAGCGAGGGAAGGGTTAAACCCGCTGCTAAACCGGGCTGGAAAGGGGTCACCGCTTGGGTGGGAGACAGGCCAGGAAACCAAGGGGGTGGAGCAGGGGGCCCAGCAGGGGGCACTCTCCCCTGGCAGAGAGAGCTGGCCCCCCTAGGGGGCACTGTGCTGCAGGGGGCGGAGGACTCCATAGGGGGTGCTGTGCTGCAGGGAGTGGGGGGCTCCATAGGGGGTGCTGTGCTGCAGAGGGCGAGTCTCAGCCTGTCTCTAGGGTATCCAGGCAGAGCGTTGAGGGGGATTCCCTCCCTCCTGAGCCCCCTGTCCTGGCTGCCCTATGGGGCTGAGGGGCAGGGCTGGTACATGGGGATCCGGGTCGACTTATGGACGATTCTGCTTCCTGTCTCTGCAGGGAAAGGACCAACACCAAGAGAGAGCAGGTGAGACCCCCTCTGCTCCCCTCAATCTACCTGTTCCAGGACACAGGACTCCTGGTTCTCTCCCTGGCTCAGGCAGGGGAGTGGGGTCTAGTGGGTTGGAGCAGGGGGGCTGGGAGGCAGGACTCCTGGGTTTGTTATGATCTCTCTCTCTTTGTCCCTGTAGAGAGTCCAAGGCTGCAGCCACAGTCGGTAAGTCACACACGAGGGGGCAGCCATGGGGAGGAGGGAAGGGGAGAAGAGGGGAGAGGTGGGTGTCCCCTGGTGGGGGCTGTGTCCTGAGCGGGGGAGGACAGGCTGATGTGGGGTGCAGCCTGTGTGTTGTTGTGGGACGAGGCATCTCTGCCCTGTCTCACTGCATCCCCTTGGGGGTGCCCCTGCCCTACTCTGTGCCTCAGTTTCCCCTGCTGCACCATGAAGCTAGTGTCCCTGCCCCAGCCCAGTGTGCTGGGGGGAAGGTGGGCCACTCTGCAAAGGGCTGAGATGTGGGGTGGGAGGCCAGGCCCCGGGCCCTGATCTGGACCCAGCCCCTCACTGGGACTGTCTCTGTTCCACAGACACCCTTATGTGCCAAGGGAAGCAGCTGGATGTCCTGGTAAGTGCTCCCCACTCCCCAAGACATCCACCGCCCCACCAATCTGGCCCTTTGTGGGCCCCACTAGAGCAACAGGGATCAGCAACAGGGCTCCCCCCGGGATCGGGGGACAGAAGGGAGGGGGGAGACCCAGAACACTGAGAATAAGAGGCTGATCTTGCACCCCACAAACTCACCCCCCCCACAAACCTTCCCCCCAAATGTTTGCATTTGTCTGAGGTTTGCGGAGGGTCAGCAGAATTCCAGGGGGGGCAGGTGCGGCACGGGCCAGGGAGGATTTCCCTGATCTCTGTCCCATGGGGCTCTGTGGGCTGGAGTGTCCGTGGAGAGGGGGTGGGAGGAAGCACTGCTCTCCAGAGCCCACCGCTGGACAGGACAGAGCGTGTCAGAGCAGCTGTGCGCGTGTGTGAATGTCGCTGCCCTCTGGTGGAGGGGTTGGGACTGCTCTGCTGCTGTGTACACCTGCTCCCTCAGGGAGGTGGGGGGAGCACACACATCTGTGTGCTACGTTGGCGTAAGTTCACCTGTGTGTGTGTGCAAATCTCTGTGTGTGCGCACATCGCTATGTGCAGTGTGGCTCTGTGTGTGTTGGTGTTGGCACACACACACTACACACAGTGACTCTCTCCCCTCCCAGCCCCAGGAGCCTGGGACCGAGGGACTCACCTACGCTGAGCTGGACTGCCAGATGCTGCAGGTCAAGCAGGGGGGGCCGGCCCGTGCCCCCGAGCCTGTCCTGTATGCCGCCATCAACGTGAGCTAGGGCCCCCACGGGCAGCACCCCCGGGACGCAGGGGGCACCCTCCCCCCCATAGTGTGATCCTGGGGGGGAGTCACCTCACACAGAGAACAGATTACGTGTATAGCCCCCCCGGAAACCCTCCAACAGCTGGTGCTGCCCCACCCAGCCCCACATGTGGAGGGTCATGGGGTTCAGCACCAGGGGAGGGACAGGACGCAGCAAGGAGGCTGTTTGTGTTATTTTGCATCCTGTTAATCTCCAGATTTGTAATAAACACAGAACCACAAACTGCCCCCCTCAGGTACCCCACAACCCCCCTGTCTCCGCGCTGGCAGTGTGTGTCACACCTGGGGCAGACAGGATCGCTTCTCCCATTTTCCAGGCGTGCCCCTTACCCAGGTGCTGGATATAACTTGAGGGCTGGGTTAGGGGCCTGCCTGGGACATGGGAGAAGTGGGGGAACAGAAACTTGTGACCTAAAATTGGGGTTGTCGGAAATGAAGCTTCATTGGTGGATAAAATATTGCGGGGATGGGCTGTGCCATCCACCACCCTTTGGGGGCCTTAAAGAAAGAGAGTCACTTCAACATCCTGGCTGCCAACCCCTGTCTCCTGGGCCCCCCGGGCCGTCCGGACCCTGCTCCGCAGAGACATCCTGAGCAGAGCGGCTGGAGAGAGGGACCCCAATGCCATCGCCCCTCCCCCGGCTGAACCCCCAACCCGGGAGGAAACCGGGTCAGACTTTAACAGCAGCCGCAGCGATACCGGCTCCAGCCCAGCTCCGCCGGCTCCTCTGCCCCCCAGGACAAGTCGCTAGCGTCTCTGGGGCCAGCGGGGAGACGCCCAAACCTGGGGGATTTTCCAGCTAGAGACTCGCTCCAGCGAACGATGTTGGGGCTGGAACAAACCCCGCGTTTCACACGGTGCCTGCCATGGCTCCCCTGGTTCCTGCTCTGCTGTAACAGCCAGTCCCAGGGGTCAATGGGGGTTTGCCGTGGAGCTGAGCAGGCTGCGGGCTCTGGACCCTGCCCCTGGCTCGTGTTTAACCCTGTTCAGTGTGGGGCAGGGTCTGGGGCGTGTTCGCACCTTGGCTCTTTATTGCATCTCCATGAACACAACAGGACAGAGAGCGATTTAGCCTCTGGCTCTTCTGGGCCCCCCCATGGCTGGCGTTTGGGGGGAGCCAGGTGCGGGAGAGCCAGGAGTTTGAGGGAAGTAGGTTGAGGGTATTGGGAGGGGGGTTGAGGGCAGAGGGGCTGGGATGGGGGACAGGAGTTTGAGGGCAGACAGGCTCCCCCTGCAGAAGGTCAGAGCTGTGGGGGGCAGGATTGTTGGAGGGTCTGAGGAGGAGGGGAAGGCAGCACCCCCTGAGTACCCTCTGAGCTGCCACTTCTACCCCCAGCAGTCTCCCCTGTCACTGCCCCCTGCTCAGCCTCCCCCCCATTCCAGCCTCCTCAGCCTCAGGGTCCCCCATTTTCTTTTCTGTCCCCTCAGTGTTCTCCCCACACAGTCACCCCTTCTCCTCTGTAGCGGTGGTCCCGGTGGGAGCTAGCTGAGGTCACTCCATCAGGGTGAATTGCAAACAGAACGGGGCGGACAAACCCCACAAGCTGGTGGATATTCCAAGATTTAGATTTCCCAAGCCAGCACAAAACAGCTTCGGTATCACCTCCCTGGTTACTCAGAAGTCCAAACAACACAGTTCCCTTAAAGTGCCCAGCCTCAGGCCTCCAGCCAGTACCCACATCAACATATGATGTTGTCATAAATATAAAGGGAAGGGTAAACATCTTTAAAATCCCTCCTGGCCAGAGGAAAAACCCTTTCACCTGTAAAGGGTTAAGAAGCTAGGATAACCTCGCTGGCACCTGACCCAAATGACCAATGAGGAGACAAGATACTTTCAAATCTGGAGCGGGGAGAAACAAAGCTTTCTCTGTCTGTGTGATGCTTTTGCCAGGGACAGAACAGGAATAGAGTCTTAGAACTTAGTAAGTAATCTAGCTAGATATGCGTTAGATTCTGTTTGTTTAAATGGCTGAGAAAATAAGCTGAGCTGAATGGAATGTAGATTCCTGTTTTTGTGTCTTTTTGTAACTTAAGGTTTTGCCTAGAGGGATTCTCTATTACCATCCTGATTTTACAGAGGTGATTCTTTTACTTTTCTTCTTCAGTTAAAATTCTTCTTTTAAGAACCTGATTGCTTTTTCATTGTTCTTAAGATCCCAGGGTTTGGGTCTGTGTTCACCTATGCAAATTGGTGAGGATTTTTTTCAAGCCTTCCCCAGGAAAGGGGGTGTAGGGTTTGGGGAGGATTTTGGGGGGAAAGACGTTTCCAAGCGGGCTCTTTCCCGGTTATATATCTGTTAGACGCTTGGTGGTGGCAGCAACAAAGTCCAAGGAAAAAAGGAAAATAGTTTGTACCTTGGGGAAGTTTTAACCTAAGCTGGTAAAAATAAGCTTAGGGGGGTTTCATGCAGGTCCCCACATCTGTACCCTAGAGTTCAGAGTGGGGAAGGAACCTTGACACTTGCTAATAGCTGTTAGCAAAGAGAGCACACCCAATCAGACAGTGAATTCTCTTAAGCAAGAGAAGTCAAGGTTTGATCCTTCAGGACAAGGAGGAAAGGAGAGACCTTAATTTTGCAAAGGAGAGCCATGAGTTAACCCTAAAAGGCCCAAACCCCAGTGGCATTGAGCCAAAGGTGTGGCAAGACAAACATGATTGTAGATGGATACTTGCAATGAATTTGTTGTTGTTGCTAATGGTAATTTTTGTAACTAATGTGTTGCTATTACCAAGAACTGTAAAAATGTCCAATGTGCCTAATCTTTTGAAAAAAACCTTGAACATGTTAAAAGAAATACATGAAAACACACTTTGTTAAAAGGCTTTGTTATACTGATGTTTCACAGTTAATACCTGTAAATGTTATTGAAACTTTTCACAGGGGAAAAGACATTCCAGGCCTGATGTGCTGTATGAAAAGGGAGACTGAGGCACACTACCAGATTACTTTCATGGCTAAATGCCAAGATTCCTATTGTATGGACAACATTAATATCTACATTGTCTTGATATTAATTGGGTTCCAAACATTTGCCAGAGCTTGTATGGATAAAGTTGCTATGTTCTTTAGCTCTTGGGAAAATCACGAGACACACAGGAACCATGCTGCAAGAGCAGATCCAATCCACTATTGTTCTACCTTGAGTTTGTAAAGAGATTCAATCATGTTATTGAACATGACTTTGATAAATCATTTCTGTTATACGCTGGTACGGCTTCTAACCCAATACTAGCTGTAGTAAAACAGAACCAAGGGTGGGGAGCTCTTGGGATGCAGTCAGTGATGTTTGTGTCATCCCTTCTTGCATCAATTTTGCGTTGGGGAGTGGGGGTAGGGGGGTGAGGTTATTCACATAACCTGTGACGGTATAGATCATTGTTGCAACCACTGTTATATATTTGCAGCAAATATTGTACAAAGGTTGTTGTGTAAGAGGTTCCACTCCCTGCTCTTCCAAAGCCCTGGCTGGGATGATTTAACTGGGAATTGGTCCTGCTTCGAGCAGGGGGTTGGACTAGATGACCTTCTGGGGTCCCTTCCAACCCTGATATTCTATGATTCTATGATTCTCTTGTGTTATGTCTGTTTTAACTCCTCGTCTCGTAGTTGACACCCATACCGATAAAAAAGTTAGTGAAGCACTATGATTTGCTAAAAGTTATCTACAATAAGGGGGGTAGATGAGCATGCCTATAGAGAAAGAGGATTTTAACTAATATAAGGGAGGGGTGGGCTGCTTTATGAATAAATTTGTGATGCGACGGAACTGTTTATAAAAACCTATTAGTTTTACTTAGAGGCTGCTGGTTCTCTTTGGAGACGGGCTGCTCTCTATTGTTCTGTGCACTCTTCAATAAAGAGCTTTGTGTTCAGACCTTGCTGGTGTTGCCTGTCTCTCTCCGGTCAGACAACGAACCGTGATAATAATTGCTTGATAATAAGAGTTGGGGATTGTGGGTTTGAGTCCCCTTTCCACCTAGGATGGGACAATTTGGCAGTAAATGCCCGGGGGACGCCCCGTTGTCTCTGATACTCAGAGATTGGAAGGGAATCTCTGGAACTACTGGGTTAACTAAATCAAAGATGAATAATTTATGTCAGGTTCAATGGCCAGCTTTCACCACTCATTTGTCCCCGACTAAGGACTGGCCGGCCTGCGGAACTTTTTCCACAGACAGGATGGATTCCTTAAAAGATATTCTGGTTGATCTTAGACCGGGACAAATGGATTATTTGTTGTATGGTATAATTATAAGCCAAAAGAAGGACGTATGGCTTTCGAAGCTGTTTGTATGGAAGAGTCAAGGACGTCCTCTTTCCTCCTCCTTTTCTTATTCATCTCAGGGGTCTCCAGCCCCGCTCTGTGCTATGCCTGCTTCTGCCCCTCCTCCGGCTTACCCTCGGCTTTCTGACCTATGCCCAGGACCAGTTGCAAGCCTTAAACCAGGACTTCCAGGCAGAAAAGGAAGCACTGGCTAAGCAAGTACCAGTCCTTCAGAGACTTGTCAAAATTTAACCATTTGTGCTCAGCATATGCCGTAACAACAGTGTGTCTGCCATAAGAGGAAATTAAATAGTTAAACCGCCAATTGGCCGTGTGTTCTGTCCAGGTGACAAGCCTCATGGGGGAGGACTCGGGTAGCCCTTGTGAGTGAGAATATTTAAGAGAAGAGACCAGGAGGGCTGGGGGGCTAGTTAAGAAGCCCACCCTCCTTGTGAAATTGGTAGTGGAACAAATCTGGTGCTCATGGAAGGGACAGTTCAGAGAGAAAAACAGGATCGGGCCCAAGCAGACAGGAAACAGAGAGATTGGAAAACGGGTTAGAAACTTGGAGGGCATAGTGAAAAAAGAGGAGTAAATAATTACAGGAATGGAAAACGTAAATCCCGGAATAATACTTGGAATGTTAAAATCTGAGTTGATTGGGGCATTGTTTTGGAGAATAAGCAAGTGATTTAAGGAAAGAAAGTGAGACATTAACTCTGTAGTTGCTGGAGGGAATTATGCTAAAGAAAAAGAATTTTTGGTTTCTTTGCAGCCATTCTGAAGGGAAAATAGGCCTTTTTTTCAAAGAAATGTCTGTAAATAAATCCAGGCAAAGAGACTATATGATTGAAATAATTTGGCTATGAAAAATTTAGTCAAATTAGCTAAAAGAACATAAGGGGTTTTATTGGAACTTAACCGCCCAAATGTATAAAGGAATGTAAATATATAATGCTATTTAATTAAGATCCTATTAGACTCTAAGGGGCTACAATAGTTGGTGTTTTCCTTTTTAGAGTTGTGTGTTGTGAAAACAGGAGTTAAAAGTAAAAGGCAATTAAAAGTCTGGTAAAGTTTATTGTGCCCTTTTTAAAGTAAAAATCTTTAAGTTGTGGGTCCAAAAGCAAGCCGAAAAGCATTTGTTTTAATGTAAATTACCTAACTGATAAGGTAAAAGCCACTGAAACCTGGGCTGCCTATGAAACAAATACAAGAAAATATGGGTAATTCCTCTGTTTTGCCTGCAATTAACAAGGGTATTTGTATAAAAAGGAAATATTTTAAGAATGACTGACTGCCCAGAAGGGGTAGATCTATGTTCTTTTTGTCTTTCAGAAAATCAGAGAAAACTGATGCCAGATGAAAAGCAATTCAACATATCAATTTACTGGCACAGTAGGAATTCTGTTCTGTGTTCTATGTCCTGTCTTGTGGTATTTGTCTTGTGGCCAGAATTGCTGTGTTTAATTTTTCATAGGACAGTTTAGTTTAAAACTAAATAGAAGGGTTAAATTAAAATGCAGATACTTGTTTTATTCAATTTGGAATAAAAAGTGTTTGGATAATATCAGGAAAATGTAATATACTAAAGTTTAATACATTTGCTTAAGAAAGAAAAATAAATTTCATTGGCCAGATCTTTTAATTGGAAAAAAAAATTGTTGTTAAAATTCACACACCAACAGTCTTTGGAAGCAAGGACATGAAAGGTTAACCCACTCCCCGTATTATACATGGGATCCTTCTGGCTACCTCAAATTGCTAGCCAGAGGGCTGGGGAGGGAGGAAAGCTATTGGACGCCAGAGGTTGTACCAAGTGGATTCCTCAAAAGTGGGTGTGCTTGTCCTGGCTTGTTGCTCCAAAGCTCCATAATAAAGTCATTTTACTAGAAGGGTGTATGTGGTATACATTGAACAATAAGACTAAAGTGCTGTATAATGGGCAATGTATATGTGTTCATTTTTGAACAAAGGTGTGTGAGTGGAAAGTGAAAGTTTCCTTTGCAGGTTAATAGAAGCCAAGAAGGGGAGAAGAAAAAGAACAAACGGAGGACGAGCTACTTCAACGCGGTAGCTGGCAGGCTCGGTCCAAAGATAAGACGCTGGCCTGCCCAAGGACACTACTCACAGCTGGGATTTTGCTAACAGCCAAGAAAGAAGGGGGCTTGAATGTGCCCAAGCATCTGTGAGATCTGTAAAACACTGATCCTGTATCAATAGGTAACCGCTTGGCCGATGAGGCTGCTAGAACCGCTGCCTTACAAAATACTCAATTAGATTTACGTTCACCTCTTTTAACCTGGCAACAGCGAGCCCCAGATAGTAAAAAAATAATCTGGGAAAAATGGGGAGCTAAGCCCAATTCCATGGGAATGTGGAAGTGTAATGGTCGTTTTGTTTTACCTAAAAACCAGCAGAGTGCAGTGATGGAACAGATCCACAAAAATACGCACTTGGGAGCAAATAAAATGGCCCAGATTATGTTAAGACAGTTTGTTTCCTCAGGACTTTACGAACTAGCCAGAAGGACAGTAGAAAAGTGTGCTCTGTGTCAGCAGTGTAGCCCAAGGGGTGTAAATAAGCAAGCACCACCTGGGGGTGCAGGTGGGCTCACAGACCTATGCAGCATGTACAGATTGATTTTACTGATTTACCTCCCTCTGAAGGAAAGCGGCATTTATTAGTCATAATAGACCGTTGGAAGCTTATTCCACCGCTCGAGCGACTGCAACTGCTGTATGTAAGGTATTACTTAACGAAATTATACCAAGATTTGTCCGTCCCCCCCCGAAATAATTGACTCAGACCAAGGTACTCATTTTACTGCAAAAATTTGTAACGAACTGACCGGTAGGAACAAAATGGGCCAGGTGGAGCGGATGAACGGAACTCTAAAAAATCTTTTGACAAAATTATGCCGGGAATTCAATATGAGATGGACTAAAGTCCTTCCTCTAGCTCTCTACACCATTCAAACAACTCCGAGTGACACTGACACCTTACGAAATCCTGTTTGGACATATACCCCCAACCTTCGCTCCTTTGATATCCGTTCCCAATGACACTGATATGACCAAAGCCACAGAGACTTATGTGAAAGAATTGCAGAGACATCTACTGACATTGCAACAATACTCTGCACACTCCCAGTCCTTACCTTTGTGGGAAGCTGTTCATTCTTTTTTACCAGGTGATCCTGTGTGGATAAAAGCATATCAGAAGACTCCGCTTCAACCACAGTGGCTGGGACTCTTTGAAACCCTTCTGGTGAGCCCTACCGCTATCCGACTGAAGGAGCTACCCACCTGGATCCATCATACCAGAGTCAAGAGGAGCACCGCTAGGGAACCTGACCTGTAAAAAGATTCCCCAGAAGCAGTTGGCGTCGGACTTTGAGGAAGCTACGCACATTCATCCCACCATGAACTGGGTGAATCAGAAGCAGACAACATCTGTGCTCAAGACAAATGGACTGCTACCCCTTTGGGCGACCTGAAGCTCCGGCTGCAGCTAAAAAAAACCTTGAGTTGGTGGTGCCCTCTCAGGGAAGGATGGCCCCGTTCTCTAAACTGGGTTCTTGTGTTTTTAATCTGTTATTTGTTATTTTTTTTTTTTTTTGGTGGTATGGGGAGTTGAGACTATAGAATCACACAGTTCTAACACATTTATACGTCTTGCCCATGAAATGAAATCTCGTATGCCAGCCCTACAAAACACTTCATGCTGGGTGTGCCCATTAATACCAGCAGATAGCCAAAAAAGTCTTCCCATGGTTCCTATTCCCCTTAGTGCAATGAATATGACCTGGACCCCGTCCTGAAAAAATTCTTCAGGCAATTGAAATATTACCTGGGCTGATACCGGCATCTCTGAAAGCAGGTATCTAATAGTTTGGAAACGAGTTGGCCAATGGTGCCTCTTAAGAGAAGGGAAAATAGCTTTGGGTAATAGTGAGTGCACAGCCTACTTTAATGGCACTCATTTCGGGAGTAAAAGAGGTCCTAATATCTCTCTCCTGGATGGGGCAACCTCTTGCATCTCCGCGTGATATAGATTTGCAGGTAACAAGTGCAGTCTGCATGGGGAAAAACATTTTTTGTATAAAGATCATAAGTTGATTGAGCATTACGTTATAAATTGTACGCTTGGGTATAACCTGCCAACTCATACTTTGTGTTTATGTTCCTCTAACGCCTCCGCGGCTAAATTCTCCCTCCTCCCATCTTGGACCGGATGGTACGAACGTATTAATAATACCTGGTCCAAAGTCACTCCTACCCTTTTTGGAGTATACTGGGTGTGTGGTAACAAGGCATACTTAGCCCTCCCTCCTTCATGGAGTGGATCCTGCTACTTGGCTTGGTTAGAACCACCTGTAGTATTTCGCACACGTCTCCCTAAAGGGAAAATCAGAAATGTAAGAGGGGCTGAGGAAGATGCAAATGACTCTCGCCCCCTTACTTGGTGTGCCCTCAATGAGTGGACGGGTGCTTGTGCAGGATTTGTCTTCGCCTGTGGAGGTGCCACCTGGCATATTGGGGAAGGAGTCATGAGAATTCAGGGAGTGTTGGAGATGATGGCAAATACCACTGCTGGCGTCTTAGTAGA